AGCGGGGCGGTTCTGACCTGGGTCCCGTCTTTCCGGAGCCCCGCGGGCCGGGGGGGCTGCCCGCTGGCCCGGCTGTGTTGCAGAAGTACGAGAAACGCTTCGTCGTCTTCGCGTTTCTTGTTACCTACGCATAGCTATGCGTCCCATAGCCTTTGCCTCCGCTGCTGAAAGCAGGGACGCTGTTAGAGCCCGGGAGCTGTGTGCAGATTATTAGACGTCTCTTAAACTAAACGTAGTTTACTAACTGAGGATTTTGTGGGGAAAAATGAGGGGAAATGTCAGGGCCACTGCTATCAGTCTGCAGCTCTATTTACACTTGCAGTTGAACTGGTTATTTCAGGTATCTACGGAGTAATTTTTGAAAACAGCCCTGCCTTTTTTGTAAAAAGTGTCGCTTGGTGTGGTTTGGGTTGGTTTACCCTTGGTGGGATTATAAATAACTGTATTAGCACCATATTTGTAATTGAGTGGCTTGCTGAAAATCTGGAAAGTGCTCAAAGGGATGTTCAAATTTCCAGGCTTTCTGCCTGTGTGTTGGCTTGAATGTGATACCGCAGGTCTTACCAAATACAAAAAAAAAAAAAAAAGAAAAAAATAGGAATTGGGATGTAACTTAAATAATCTGCCAGCAATTCAGTGCTTTCCTTCTAAGCTTGACAGGTGCTATGCCCGTTTCTGATGTGCGTTATGTCATAGGGCATGCAGCATCACTGACTGCACTTCTGTGGTATTGATGAAACTGATGTAATTTCCATAGTTGTAAGGAAGTGGCTCGATGGCAGTATTATGAATTGCTTTGCGGTGAAAACAGGAATGGTCAAGATACATACTGCCAGGCCTGAAAGACAGCTGAACACGTAACTTTGTGAAAAGTAAGGAAATTGTTATTTGTGTGTGTGACTTCCTAACTATCTTCAGCAATTGATTTTAAATTAAAAAACAGTTAAAAATCATTGGTGCTCTCTGACTCTTCAGGACAAGAAAACGTTAGGAGAACAGACTTCTTGATAAAGCAACTAAAAATTCTAATTCATCTAACAGTAGCAATATGTTAAATAGTTGATAGAAGTAGGGTTTTTTTTCAAGATGGTAAAGCAGGACCAGTGCTGTACAGAGATGTTCTTCAGAGGAGAAGGAAGTACTTGTTTTTTAAGAAAAATATTGTGCTGGTTTGGTCTTGATTGATTTATTTGAGTGTTTACGGAAGAAGTGTGTCTCTAGGATTGACGGAAGTGAGGTGAGTGACTGGAATTGTTGCATTTAGGATTAAAGTTACAATTGTATAACAATAGGAAATTATTGAGGCATGGTGCATTTTGCATTTGCACAAATTTTCTTTGCCGTTTCTGGTTGTCCTTTGTATAGCTGTGCACTCAAGTGTAACTTAGGTGAATCATTGTCTTTTTACCTTGAAGGAATTAGTGGTCTTTTATGTTTTGAAGATGCTTGTGCTTTTCTGTCCTGAGGTGGGGAGATAAATGAGACTACTTTAAGCATTAGGAGTATGCTGTCTGAGCAGTTTAAACTTAGGCCACAGTCTAAAACTTTCTGACTGCAAAGGAGGGAAGCTTGAAGTAGTGAAGGAATTTGAAGTAGGAATTAGAGTGTTGACTGACTTCTTTTAAAAGAAAATGATGCTTTGATAGCAGAATCAAGCTGTGTTTCAGATGATTTATTACTCTGTCCTGGCTTGGTGTCTCATCCTGTTCGTTTGCTTACTGTGTTTTTCCTACAGGGTCAGCCACTGATCTGTTTCACAGCTGGCACAGAGCTAGGGGTGATGCTGGGTGGCAGTAAGTGCTCAGAAAGGAGCTGGCTGAGCGACTGCCTGCTTCAGTGCATCCCCTGTCACTGGAGAGATTGTTTTGCAGTCACAGTCTGGAGCCTGTGCATCGATCAGCCTCGGTCATGAGGAGTGCTTCTCTCTTAATACCTAGGGCATGAAAGCCTAGCCAGGTGGAGGAAACTTAAAATCATTTGTTTTTCAACAATAGGTCCACGAACCAGTTTGAGCTAAGGAGGAGTGGGGAACAAATAGCTTGTTAGTTAGAATCATAGAGTATCTCAAGTTGGAGGGGACCCATAAGTTACTCCACGATGCTTGCCCATATGCATATATTTACTTTGCTGGAAACTTCAGTCATTGGAGATGCATTGTCTTTAAGTTAGTGAAGATTGGTTATCTGAGGTGAAAGGAAATACACCTGGGCAGTTAGCAGAGTAGTTAATTTGTGTGTTTATACCGAAGGTTATCTCTTTTTTTACGTTCTAAACAAGAAAGAATTGTGAAAAACAAAAAAGTTATGAGTGATAGCGTTGCCAAGGAAGACTCCAGAAAACAACCTTGCAAGAGATCTGAACGATCACTTAGTGGCATGAACTTCTGCCTTATTTCACTGGAATGAACTTTGATTGAAACTTTACATGTCAATATTAGTTTTCTACTACTCATTAAACTACATGTTGTTTTTGTTTGTTCTAAAATAAATGCCTTTAAGGCTTACTGTAGCTGTGGCGTATAGAATTGTATCAGTAATATATAAATCATCAAAATAGCTATCCAAACAAGCTCATACAGGGAAAAACTGTTCATTTCAAGTAGCTTAAAGCAAATCATTACTGAAATGGTTTATTAACAATACGTAATTAACCAGCAGTCACTGAATTATATAGCTGTGATCAGCATCAGCAACATGATAAGTCACTATTTTAGACATACTCAGAATGTTAACACACCACCACAAACTTAGAAATGCCTGTTTGTAATCCCCAGAAGCTCTACTCGCGCTTGATACATGTGCCCCCCACCCAAGGCAGTGTAGGTTATAAGCACGCCCTGCCTCTTTCGCTTCTTCTATACTTCTGTTTGAGCTGATTCCTTCTTTGCTTTAAAACTTTGTAATTTTCTGGCTACTCTTCCAGCTAATGGTTGTCACCATCTTCAACGTGATGAATATTGAGAAGCCGCTATCTCAGTTTTGGGCAAACTCTTCACATGTGGCATCTATACTTCCATTCCTCTCTTAATAACTGTTATCTAGGCTGTTTCACTGAGGGTGTGTTATGCAGCTTCCTCCTCCCCCCAAAAATGTGGAACATTGTACCATGCAAGGTCCACACGCACCCCAACCAGTAGTCACTAGGCCTTTGGCTGAAATCTGAATTTACTATTTGGGAGCATGTTCTTGTGTCATGATAAATGCACTCTAGCTTTTCGCCTATCTGTCTAGATAAGCAATTTCCATCTTTCGGATGTTGTGTGGATGCTGAGAGCTTCTATTTTTAAATGCCAATAATAACCAGAAATCTTGAACTTTATTGTAGTGTTCTGTCACTTCTGAAGTGTTACCAAGAGATAGTATTGTCTGACCTTATCAGTGAGTGTCGAAGCTTAAGCTTAACCTCCTTGTGCTGACAGCCTGGATTTCCATAATTATAATTTCTTATTTTATTTCCTTTTGCAAGACTACTCTGCGCAAAGTCTTTTTTTAGAAGCCATATGAGTTAACTAAACATAGGTCACTCAGCCTTTGGATTATTTACCTACAGCTATTAAAATGCAGAAGACCTGTATGTGCTTGATGGCTTTTCGGTCTTGAATGATCAGCATGCTTGTACTGTTTGTGCACTGAATCACTTGGGATCATGTATCCATGAACGTTTTGATCTTGCAGAAAGTTGTTCTTTAAATTAAAGAACAAGTTGCTAGTGTTGCTGAGAGAGAAAATAGCTTTTAAAAAGTCTAAAATAGAGCTTAGTAAATTTAGGAGGACTGTCAGTACGTTGAGGATTAGAGCCACTCAGCATATTGCATTCAGTGTAGCTGCTTTGAGTAATGTTTTGGAGAAGTGGGATGTCTGATGGAAGTTATTGGCTGGGAAAAGGAGCTTGTTTTGTTTGTTGGGAGGCAGCAGGGGGCTGGGGAGAGCGTAGGACTTGCTTCTCGTATAGCTCCTTCCATACCGAGTTATTTGACATTCTGGCTACTATCAGCAGAAACCTTCTGGGTTAGATGTGATGTAAATGAAGCATGTAGCAAGTAACAAAAGCATAGCAGTCTCCTCGCTCTTCGGAGGTCATGCCTGAAGTGTTTTCTGCTTATGTGTGTTCCTGACTGTAGATCTTTCATTGCTGAGATTCATCAGTGCTGAGCTAACAAGAGGTTACTTCCTGGAACACAATGAAGCAAAATACACAGAGCGGAGAGAGAGAGTATACACATGCATGCGGATACCAAAAGAACTGGAAAAGGTGAAGTATTCTTTAAGATTTGTTTTAATTTGGAGATTAAATCTGTTTTGTTAAATTATTTAAAGAAATACTTATTTTTCAAACACTTCCTATTAAAAAGATTTAAACATTTCTAATGATTAATTTTCAGTGTCAGTAACTTAAATATTTGTGTTTCAGAGTTTTTTGCCTATGTTTGCTTGTTGCTGCTGGCAACTCTTGGCCACTTGTTGTTGTTAGCAGATACCGACATGACTAACTTTCAAGTCCAGATGATGGCAAATTAATTCAAATATGGAGATGTCACTGATCTTTAAAGGAATAGTCAAGCAAAAGAAAACTTTTTACTGCAATATGTAATTTTACATTTAAAAACAAAATTGTTTTAAAGATTTTTCCAGTCTGAAATGTTTCAAGGGTGGGAAGATTTCAGTCCTTTAAAAATACGGTGATGGATGAGTTTCTGTCTTAAGTCTTCTGACTTAATTTTCATAGCCACCTATTTTGCTTCTTGCCACTGTTTACTTCACCTTCCCTTTCGAACCCAGTGCTGTAGCCCTTCCTGAGGCATTGCTGCCACCTCCTTTATGTCACCTTAGCTATAATTCTGGCCCTGCAGTAAGCCAATTCCAATGCTGTAATGTAGAAGAGAGTTTTATTCTGGCTTAACCATTTTGAAACCCTGTGGGAGAGGGTGTCAGATCTGGGAGACAACAGGAATATGCTCAAGGATGAGAAGTAAGGCAGCATTGGTGATAAGCTTTGGCTAGGCTGCAGTGTAATGACATTAAAAGTAATATGGCTGTAATTCTTGAAACCTCTAGGGATGAAGTTACATGGTAGGGCTGAATCAATTTAACTCTAACTTACATGGAAGGAAGAGTCTTGTGTCACTGTTCCTCTCGCTTCAGTCTCCTGCCTCATGCTTGCTGACTGTTTTGCATGAGCTGCGGTACTTGTACGACTGTTCTCAGAGTTAAATCAGCTCATAATTCGGCAGTGAATGCTTCACTTTTCTTGCTCTGTTTGTTCTTTGCCAGGATAGTGAGCTGAATTGCTCAGCCAGTATTCTTGAGAATCCAGAGCCTACACAGGGCAGAAAGGGAGCTGAATAGCTTGCAGGAGGGGTAGACAGGTGAGAGAGATGTGGAGGAGGGAGGGAGAGTAGGATACCCTTTGTCAGCTGCACTTGGGTTCCCCCTTTATTGAGTTCATCCTTGGGCCATGATGAGACCTGATTTTATGAAACTAAATTCCCAGTCAGTTACTGCAGAAAATCACAGTATGGATGGGCCTCTGGAGATGATGTAGTCCAAGCCCTTGCTTAAAGCTGCAGCACCTACAACAGGTTGCTCAGGACCACATCCAGTTGGGCTTTGAACATCTCCAGGGATGGTGTCTTCGCATCCTCACTGTTTACCCATTCCAGTTTATGGTAGAATATTCCAGTTATGGTAGAGTCTCAGTTGAACAATATAGCAGTTCTTCATCATCTCTGTTGTAATTATGTAGACTATCACGTGCTGTCTCCAAGACACAGAAATTATTCTGAAGGATCATCACCATAGATTTCCTGATAAAACTTTCAGTATGTAAGAATAAGTGAATGCCAACATTCTTTTATAAAAAAGGTTGATGCTGTAAGTGGTGAAATTGATGGGTTTTTCATGGTAAATCAAACTTCAGTCTGTACTTTAAGTATGAAAGAATATGGAACTAAGTAATAAGCAGATAGATTTAAAAAGTGGTAGCTATCTTTTTACAGAGATGTTACTTCCTTGCATGGGCTTAGTATGGTAGTATTTTTTTATTATTGTTGTTCTGAATACTCCTTTTTTATTTAGAGAAGCTAGATAATTTGTAATATAAATGCTTCTTCCACTCGAGCTTTTTGTGCAGTTTCAGTGGAAGCTCTTAATTGTAACAGATTATTTATACTAAATGAAAAGGTAGTCTCTGTTCCTGCCATCTTAAGAGAATGCTTGTCAATCTCAAAGTTAAACTTTGTGCTCTTTTGCTAAAATACAGTTAGGATGATGGAAAAGCTCTATAAGCTTTTCTCTTAACTCCTTAGTATCTGGAATGTAGCAGCAAACATAAGGTTTACAGAAATGAGTGGAAGGTTCAGTGCTGATCATATTTCAGCAGGTGCATATGTGCAAGTGTGATGTAAAAAAATTAGGAAAGTGAGGGCATTAAACAATAATTGCAAATATTAATGTGAGCTTATAGAATGGGAAAAAAACATGATAACACTCAGGCACAGAAAAGGTCTGTCTGAATCAAAAAGAAGTTGCAGAATTGTTTTCTAGATTATAAAGATGCCCTCAAAGAATACAGGGGCCGAATGACAGGCTATCTTTCTATTTTGCTTGGGTTAAGGAATTAAAAAAAAAGAGAGAGATGCGTGTTCGGCTCCAGTCATCCTCACTGCTTGGATATTCAGCACCTGGTTTAAAAGTTAGCAAAGAAACAGGTAACTTCATGGCATATTAAAATACAATGTATAAATTTGTGTATTATTTGTAACCACAGCTCCTGATAGTTTTGAATAAGTCTCTGCTAAAATTTTAGAAAATGGTACTAGAGGGGAATGAGTATCAGGGAGGAGACCTTAATGTCATGGTGGTATTGAAGTACAGACTGCTGAATTGGTAGAAATAGTGTTATGAGGGAAAGCAACAGCTCAGAGGCGATAGCAGTGCTCTTGTGCCTGAGTCAGTCACCTTATGTGGCTGGCAGATAGATGTCCCGGAGTGTACTCTGTAGGATTGCTTTCGATGTTACAAGAGTGCATGAGGAGTAAGAGTGAGAGGAGGGTATGTGTCGGTGATGTGAGCTCATTGGACACTGAACTGGAGTTACCAAAGCTGACAAAGGTGTTTTGAAAGGCAAAGAGATTGTGGGAGATAAAAGTAGTTTACTTGTGCTTTCGCTTACTTCCCCCCTGCTTCCCCCACCCCCAAACCAGTGTCTTCCTTCCGCATGAGCGATACATACAACTTTCACATGTAAACGCGTATCTGTCATGGATATCTAGGTCTGCTTAGATGTTGCTAGTCTTAAATTTGTAGCCAGTTAAGCTTGCCATTTTACATAATTTTCCTTGCAGAAAAAAACACTAGCTTCTGGTGTGCCAGAGGCATAAAAGCATATGCCCATATGACCCCCTTTCAGGTAAATCTTAGATACAAAGAGCAGATAAAGAAGGAATGTCATGTTGGGAAAGTCTGGTATGTAAGAGCTTTCTAATTGCAGAGTTTAGGTCTGCTTTAATTATCAGAGCGTTGCTTGGCTTGTTGCTATAACAAAATGTCCTTAACTGTTTCTGTAAATTTAAGGATAAAGCATTTAAACTGTGGGCAACTGGAAGTTTACTTCTTCATATTTATATTCTTCTTTGTATGAAAAAGGTGGATATTCTGTGAAGGAGAACTACCACAGCTGTAATTAGCTGTGCCATAGAAAACTAACAAGGTAAAAACATTTTTTTGGGGGGGAAAAAAAACGTATTAGAAAGTATGTAGGCAAAAAAAATGGCTGTCCACCTGTACATACAGCTCTAATATTTTTTTTCTAAGGTTGAAAACATTAACTTTTGTAACCTTAGAAGAAAGTCATTACTGGAAAATGAGCTACAGTTATATCCAAGTGCAGTTCATCTATTCAATAAAGACTGAGTTCACTGAGCCATGGAAGTCTGCAAAAGCCTTGCTGCTTGGACCTTGTGGTGCAGAATTTTTGCTGAATAGTCTTCCAAGTGCATAGCATGTTTATTTTTCTTACAGTTCATCTGATTGAACAAGTGAGAGTATTGTGCTTATTTGGTTAATTAGTCTTACGTAAATATATTTTTCATAATATAATTCTTTATAAACTTTTTGTAACTCTTTATAAACTACTAACATACTTCTGTTTTATTTTTGTAATTTAGTTGATGTTTTTTGGAATCTTTTTGTGCCTGGATGCTTTTCTGTATGTATTCACCCTGCTTCCTTTGAGAGTTTTTCTGGCAATGTTCCGGTTCATCACTTTGCCTTGCTATGGCTTACGGTAAGTTGATTCAAGAGAAAGGTGTTGATACCCTTGAATAATATTTCTCTGTTTATGTGTGTGCTTAATTTTATGGCCTTTCAGTGCCATTTGAACTATTAATGACTTCTTCCACTGAATAGAAGTTTTGGTCTAAACTAGCTGAAGCAAAGGTGTGTGGGGGACATTTAAGCTTTGCCACCAGTCACTAACTGTCATCGTGTTTTCCTTCAGACACAACAGTTTGATAACAGCACCACTTAGGCATATTCAGGTTAGTAAAGGGCAGAGATGTCACCTTACCCTGTAGTTTTGTTCTTTTAACTAACATCTATTTGAACAGTGTTAAAGGATTTCTTAAGTTTGAGTTAGTTACTTGGCTCACATCTTTTGATAGACTCTTTGAAACTGAAAAAAAGTTTGATTTTTTTACAACAAAACTTTTCCTTATTTCCACAGTAAACTTTGCCCAAAGGATCCCTGTGTAAAATGTGTTATTTTCTTTCCTTCAAAGAATCTTGGAGAGTAATTTGATGGAACTAACTAATTTGAATAATATCAAGAAATTTTAGATCTTACCCCTTGCTTTTTTGTTCAAATCAATTCTAAGAAGTAGTTGCTAATAATACATTGGATTTTTGGTTTGCCTTTCTGACATAGGCATCAAAAATTGGATAGAATTAATTTCCTTAATAAAGGTGCTACTTCATGGTAAAGCTGACTATGTAAGCCTTAAGTGTAGCCTAAAAGGAAAGGAGTATTTGTTTTGAAGTTATATTTTTTTCTTGAATAAATAAGGACTTCAGGGTTTTTATTCTGTATTTCCCCAAACTTTAATTTATGATAGCTGATTTATTTGAGTTGCTTGCATTTGCATTATTAATAGTCTTTTATATGTGAAGTGCTTTTAGATGCATAGTTTAGAATGTATGTTCTGATCAGAGCAAATAGTCTAGTTGCATAAGAAATATTTCATAGTTTTAAGCTTGAAATTTTTATATTTGTGTGATGTTTAACACAGGCACTAGGTGGCAGTCTCTAATATTCTATTGTGCTGTTAATATTGAGCTGAATCTCAGACTTTGATTTTGTTAAGAGCTTTCCTAGATGTGTAAAAAAAAATGACAGCTATTTAGTTTTAACCTGATGACAAGTCAAATTCTGTGCCTTTTTGTGAATATCCATATGGATGCTATTCCTAAAATATTAAAACTCAAGTAGATATAATGGCTTTTAATCTATCATTTGGATCTTACTACTTTTTTCGGTTTAAAAAGTGTTCTTCCTTGTTTGTAAACTCAGCTTTGCTTTTGACAAATGAGTTTTCTGCTCTTCTGTACAATTAAAAATTTGAAAGACCAGTTGCTGGTTTTGGGTATTGTTGAATAAACTGAAGAAAGCAACACCGAAAATACCATATACATTCAGACATGTGGGTGTGTGTGCATATATTTGTACACACACCTGCAATGTTAAAACTTGGCTTGCTTGGCAGTATTTTTAGTGCGTAAGGCAGGATAGAATCCAATTTAATCTATTCAACTTGACTATGTTAACTTTAGAATGTTATCAGGTAAGATGCAGTAAAACTGAGATAATTTGAGTGAAGAAAGCTTTGTTTTTGTAACAACTCCTGAAGCAATTTATTTTGTCACAGTTTCCTCAAATGTTTATGGAATTAACTTTCCTAGAATCTCTTTACTTATTCACTACTTAAGGCTTTGTCAAATTCATTACTGTTTTAAAGTTGGTGGCTTTTTATTAAATGGTTCACAGTTCATGTTTATAGTATATAATGGAACTTTTTCAGATGTCATTATTCTTCTTTAGAAATATTCAGAGCCTGTACTTTGATTTTTTTGGTATTTTTTGTTGGTTTTCTAGTTATGTTGATTTGATTTGTTATGGTAAAAGAGATTTGGGTTTTTCTTCTAGCTCAGGAAATACGTTTTTATGTTTATAACAAAAGAGAGTTCAATAGGTAAAACATCTGTAATTACAAAAGGTACTTACAAAGCAGGTGGCTGTTTATCTTTCACTTGTTCTTCCTCACAAATGTCAAATAAGTGTTGAGAGACATGACTAGTTGCTATTTGAACCTGCCACATCATATTCCATTCTGTGTAGTAAATAAAAGTGCTCCTCCCTTCATCTTGACTTTTTTCTCAACATCTCAGTGAAGTGATTGAGCAGTGAGTGTTCTGTCTCCCTCCCAGCTTACTCTTTAGTCCATTTATTTCCTCATACTCTTTCTGCTCTTTTCAGTGTAGAAAAAGATTGTTACCCGTTATTTCTTTAAAACAGTAAAAGCACATCCTATGTAATATGGGCTAATTCCTGTCTATAGTATTGTGTGCAGTGCTTAAATGTAGGAGGAGCGCTTTATCACCTCTTCCACATGTTTTAATATTCCATTTTGCAGAGCTCTGAAAGGAAACGCGGAGTAATGTATCTTAAAGAAATTTGTTTCCTTTTTCTGCCTAGACAGTGTGCTTCAGTTTGACTGCTAAGTCGTCATTCCTCATCACTCGATCTTTCCTTTTGAGTAAATTTAGTTCTGTATATTTGTCAGAGCTATACTGGTGTTAACATAGCTATTTCAGAGAGACACTAGAACTTTGAAAACTTCAGTCAGAAGAATCCAAGATTCTGTCATTAAGTTAACTAAACTGCTCGTTAAATTGCTATGGTCAAACTGGCAGAGGCTGAATCATCAGATTGTGGTGGTGCTGGCAGATGCAGCTTCATTACTGATATGCTCTGTTAATAGTAGGGTGCTCTTAAAAAAATTAACAAACACTTCACAAAATTAAATTACATCTTCTGAAATTACAAAAAAAAAAAAAAATCAGCTCTGCTCTATTTTGTTCCAAGCATGGAAGTTTTCTAAATTGTTCTCCTTGAATCTTACAAACTAATCTAATTTTATTAAAATATTCTTTGACAACATAAAAGCACATACGTTGCTGGAATAACAAATCTAAGGTAGAGGGAGAAGTAGACCTGGTAGAGTTCTCTACAGAATTACAGTCCTTGATGACAGATTCCTGAAACTAACTGCCTGTTGTTGAAAGGTACAGTCTCCTTTTACAATTCAGACACTTTTTTTTTTTTTTTTTTTTTTTTTTTTTAATACCTCAGACCCAGAGATTCTGGGCATATTAATATCTCTGCTTGGTTTGAAACACTTCTAAGGAGCTAATTTTTCGTTCTTCTTGAAAATCTGTGAAAGCTTTTGGGGGAATGTGGAAAAGCTCTTCTAGATTATTCAAAAAACACCATGCTACAAAAGCTAAAATTGTATATTAGTGAAACTCTGGGACTCCCAGTTTAATTATGCTTAAAGGCATTTTACATCTTGTCCACAAAGGAAGTAAGGACTCGTTAGGGAAAGTGAGACTTCCACCCTCCCCCCCAGCCCCAAATTCTTGCTTTCTCAAGAAAATATAGAACTAGATTATGAATTTTCTTATATGTAAAGATTGATTGACAAGATCTTTACATTTCCTCCATGTGGAAATAGATATAGGTTATAAATGTGTTCTGTGTTTTTCTTTTACTCTGCTCTTGAAATAAGTGAATTTAGGTCCTGGCAGCAATAACATCGTTAATTTCAGTTGTATTATGTGTAGTAAAAACTCCCATTGCCCTCCTGTGAATTCATAAATTTATGCTAGGAAATAAATAGAACAGAATTATTTAAAGAAATTGTAGAAAGAAAGCATCTTGGGAAAGAAAAAACAAACAAATGAAAACAAAAAAATATGCTGGCATTCTTATTATGGACATTCTTTCTTTATTGATATTATCAGGTTATTAAATAAATTTGCACCTCTGTTGCACACTTATTCCCAAGCCCAGTTTTTTTTGCTAAGGACTGTAGCTGTCAAATATGTAAACTTCCTATTGGCTGGTCAAGTTCATTGAGAAAGTCATGCGCCTGTCCACCAAAACGTCTGGCTTTCTACCAACCAAAGAAAGGCAGGTACATTCAGTATTTTCTGTAGTAAACTCTCAGATCAAGCACTCCTTTCTCCTTCCATAACAGTGCATAGTGTAGCAACATTACAACCTTTTCTTTCTTTCTTTCTTGTAAATCAGACCGAAGGGAAGAGCACTTTCACTTCCTTTATAGGATGGAATGTGGTGTCACAGGGATTCCTCCTTGGTGAGTAAATCCTGATTTTCTTTTTCCTTCTATGCTGTCAGCCAAATTCACACATCTACATGTGATCAGTAAAAAAACTGATTACAAATGAATAGTATAGCTAAATTAACCAACATACTTTAAAGGAGAGACCAAGACTTAGTGTTAGTAACCAACACATGAAATTGATTCAGTGCTATTTATGGTAGGTGTATTTACGTAACTTCACATTATTGTGGAAATAGGTTGTGATCTTAGTAGATTTAATACTTTTTTTACATAGAGTGCCTGTGGACCAGTGCAGCCCGATTTAAAATAGGGTATCTTGGAAAAACTATAGCCCCTGCTGTACTTAGTTTATAGTGCCTTAAGCTTTTTTGCCTTTATTCTAAGTAACGCTTCAGTCAGGTTCATAGCTAGATTTTTGTGTGTACTTCAAGCAGTTTTTGTAATGTTTAACGTAAATTTGGGGGAGTTCTGAAGGTTCATGGCCAGGTATCTTAGTGTTAGACTTGAAGCTGATTCTCTGCATAATGAAATACAGCACTTTAGCATATGTTCATTTACTGACTTCAGTTATAGTTGATTCTGTTACTGAAAAAGTAAAAGTTCAATGAAATCTAATTCTAGTTGTCACTTATTTGAAACCTCATTTATTTTTTATTTATTTTGAGACAGCTCTCATCGGGGCCTAACAGCAAGGTTGGTTTTGTTTCATTCTTAGCATGGTCTCGTGCTGTGTTGTGTGCATGTAGAGGCTTTTTATTGTTTGAAAAATGAAGTGCCATCTAATCTTGGCAAACTCAGCTCTCCGTATCTTAGAAGTCTTAATTTGGGACAAATTTTTATCAGCACTTAGTCTGTGCTGATAAAATCTCACAATTTTACAACAGTGAAGTCCTGCATACAGTAAGCTGTATCTCTTTTTTTTAAAAAGTCTCAAACTGGTTGTTAGATTTGATCAAAGTAGCTTTTCTTCGTGAAGCCAAACTTAATTCCAAACTTGAGCATGATTGTAGGAAAATGTTTCCAAGAGTTCACTTTGTGCATTTTGAAAATTCTTAGGGTGTAGCTATATGGGTAAGTATGCCCTTCAGACAAACTTGCTTGGATTTTGTTTTCCCTGACCCATTTGCTTAGTATGCTAACTGGAAAATATCGCCTTATAGGTTAATCTGATTATTCTTGTTAATGCTTCATATAAGATTAGAAACTTATGATACCACAGTTCATTAATGAAGGATACATTGAAGGATTAAGACTTCAATCAAAATGAAATATCTACATGTAAAACAAAATGCCACAGTTTAGTTTTCATACAAGTATCTGTGATGTGAAATTGGAGAAAGAAAAGAGATCTAAACAAAGCTTTAACTAGAACACCATTTCAATAACTGAAATACATTATTAATTAATATAAACATCAGTGGTTGTCTAACTTCTTTCAGTGTTAATATCGAATAAATAATACAGTTAGAAAAGGTTTGCTGTAAAATACTTGCTCAAACTTGTAACTTCAGTACTAAAATGCTTCTTCAGTGCACTATTAGCCAAACAATAAGCCTGTATAAATGAAAAGGGTTTTTAATAGTGTAAAGTACAATAACATTTATAGATATAATACTGTTGTCTTAAGAGTTTATAAATGTATGCCAATGGTTAAATTCATTATTAAGGTTAAAATATTAGTTGTTGCAATGATAGTATATTCATATCTTTGCATTACTGTATCTGCAGCATCAGTATTGGAAATCTTGTCTGTGCTAACTATGAAGGAGTAATTGTTTAGAGTAATTTGAATTATTTGGATGAGACTACTAAAGGACCAATTAAAATTTCAGTCATCCTGTTGGACATCTTTAAACTGTAAAATTAAACAAGAAAAATGCATTGAATTCCTATTGGTTTAAAGAAACCAAACCCAACAAGCAAAAACCAAACAACTCTACATGCTGACTGGAAAACCTTATCTAATCAGACTAGTGAAGATTTGAGGAACACCAGAAAGCCTGAAAGACACAAGTAAAGAAGTCGTTTGATAGCATATTACAGTCTGTGCAGACTTAAGTTTAAAATAATACACACAGGGTGCTTATGCATCTGAAGTAATTAAGTACTCAGACTTGTTTACAGATTACTTTGTATACAATATAGTGAAAAGATTATTCATTTTGCATTGACGGTTGCTGAAAAGCATACCATAGATGGCTGTAGTGAGATTTTTAGACTTTTCTTTATACAGTAAGAACAAATTCCTGTTTGTCCTGGGCTGCATTTTATGTTGCAAATGGTTTAACGGCTTTAAATTCAGTAAGGCTTATTAAAGCACTTAACACCCGCTCTTGGGTTTTTTTGGAAGTCAGTCACTTAAGCAAACTTCTGCATTAGCTACTTGTGATTTGTAACATATTAAAGCCAAATATACAGTAAACTGTTAATTATTTTTAATAATGCTTTACTTAATGCTAAATAAATTTAATTGTACAGCTGTTGGAACAAAAAAGGGGTTGGTGGGATAGATGCCAATACACTGAAAGCCTTGAGCTGTTTTGCTTCTTTAATAATGTAAAAGAAAAATACCGTGAAATCCAACATGCTGTTCAGTTGAAACAGTCACAAACATTATAATGTTGTAATTATTGATAGTATGACCTTTTTTTATGGTCATGGCCCCTGTGAATGATTGAACCTACTGTTTTTCAACCAGTAGATGGAGACAGAACTCTTTATTACTTCACGAAATGTGGATCATGGCCTTTTGAATATGGTATCAAATAGACATACCTTGAAAATGACAGCCAGGTAACTAGTTCCTTAAACTTTCACTGGTCTAAGGAGGTTGATTATGATGACCACTGTTTTTCATATCAAATTTTTCTTCACTGGGTAGCTGTTTGATGTTATCTTGAAATAAGTTCGACTCTTAATTTTCCTAACACTTAAGAGTGGATTTTCCTACAAATGTCACAAGTAATCATGCAAAAAATAGAGTTTTTTGTTGTTCCTAAAATGTATAGAACAAATTTGTGGGTAGCCAGAATATTTGGTAGTATTCTGATTTTGACAATATTTGAATTTAGTTTTATAGAATAGCAAAGTAATTCTTCCTGACTGTTTATAAGGGAAGTTACTTGGTTTTAGCTTTCTAAGGGGGGAGGACACATACAGATCCAGTGGTTTTCTAAACAAAGGAAAGACTTGGATTCACACTTCATGAATGTGTCTTAAGGTGAACAAACCATAAACTGGAAAGTAATTTTTTCTGTAACAGACTGGTTTTCTGAATTCCTAGCTCTTGGTTGATGTCACTCAGCACACTGTATAAATTTTGCTGTAGTTTCAGCTGCCTCAAACACTGTGTGAGAAGCATCGAGCTTGGCATGCTTCTCCTTCTGTTAATTGACTGAGCTGAAACAGAAGCATGCTGTGATGGAATAGGGAGGAATAGTAGTAAGGCTTGCACATCACTTGCTTATATTAAAATGAATAATAAGCTTGTATATCCCCTTAAGCATACATTTGTATAATTATATTATTTGGAGACAGAAGGTTTTGTTTCAGTGGAGATTTTCTGTCAGTTAGCAGATGTAATGGTACATGTGCCCAAAGGCTGAGGAGTTTCAACATCTTGTTAAGCACATGCTGTAGAATATTGAAGTACCTGTGTGGGGGTCTTTTTGTTGTCTTAATTTGCTAGTTAGTGTTACAGTGTGAGCGTTTATCTGTAGAGGAATGCTTGGATTTTCGCTCTTGAGTTCATGCAGATCGAAGTATCATACCATGTTTAAACAGCTCTAATAGTAAAGCAATACAGTATCTTACATAGTGGATAATAGAAAGAATGGATAAGCCTTTCTCTTTACTATTAAGGTACTTTGTTTGAAGAAGTTTAATTTAAAAATTTGATTCCTTGGTAGTCTAGCCTATACAGCTAAACGTGGGAATTCAAGGCTTAGCATAATGAAACCACTTGTAAAATTCTGTAGAGTATCTTGGAGAGCGTGACTTACAGCAAAAATGTTAGAAGTAATAATGGAATAATGGCAGAAAATAATTAGGTGAAAAGACAGAAATAGTGTCTCTTAATAAGGTGCATTTGAAGGACACTTGAAATGCCCTGAATCCATGTATTTACTGGTTTATGAGATGTGAAAGTTGTAATTTAAATTGTATTCAGCTGTGTCATCAGCCAAATTGTGAAACAGTTCACATAACATTATTTCTGGAATCCAGTAGGATATTAGAGCAACTACATCTTGGACAAAGGCTCTCATGGTACTATCTTCTAAAAGCAAAGTTCATTGAAGCCAGGAAGGTGTTAATATTTAATTCACTTCTGCAGCATCACTATATGCCTGGGATAACTTTGACGAAAAAGACAAACTAATTTCTGTAGAAAGAGTCTACTGCTTTCTGGTTTGTAACTGGAATGATTAAATATAAAATAAGATAGTTGTTATGCTCTTTATTTATTGTTCTTTTCTCACTCATGAGAAAAAACACCCATGACTCATTTTCATGTGAAATCTTTCCCTCAGTATTCTGTCACACTTCATGCACAACTGTAAAAATACAAAGTTTTTTGAAATGAGCCAAGCCCCCTCTACTTTGCCCTGGTGAGACCCCACCTGGAGTACTGTGTCCAGTTCTGGGCTCCCCAGTTCAAGAAAGATGAGGAACTCCTAGAGAGAGTCCAGAGGAGGGCTACAAAGATGATGAGGGGACTGGAGCATCGCCCCTTGGAGGAAAGACTGAGGGAGCTGGGCTTGTTTAGCCTGAAGAAGAAAAGACTGAGAGCGGATTATGTTAACACTTAGAAACAAACATCTTAAGGGTGGATGTCACGAGGATGGAGCCAGACTCTTCTCAGTGGTGTCCAGCGACAGGACAAGGGGCAATGGGCACAAACAAGCATAAGAGGTTTCAGTTGAATGTGAGGAAGAACTTCTTTACTTGGAGGGTGACAGAGCACTGGAACAGGCTGCCCAGGGGGGTTGTGAAGTCTCCTTCTTTGGAGATACTCAAAACACACCTGGACAATGTCCTGTGCAACCTGCTCTGGGTGAACCTGCTTTAGCAGGGGAGTTGGACTGGATGATCTCCTGAGGTCCCTTCCAACCCCTGCCATTCTCTGAGTCTGTGATATCTCTGTTCGGTGGTTTCTAGAGTTGCACAGTAGCTCAGTATTGTCTAGTTCTTAACCTCTTGGCTCCCTACTTTCAAATGAGATACTGAAAGTATTGTCCAGCAATATGCTATATATTTCTTGTTTGTTTCTTAACCTTTGTATAGTTGTCATAGCTTGGCCAATGCTGGCTTTTTTTCTTTGTTTTTTTTGAGATTCTGTAGTACTTGTGGATAAATAGGCCAGGTTGGACGGGGCTCTGAGCAGCCTGATCTAGTTCGCGGTGTCCCTGCTCCTGCGGGAGGGTTGGACTAGATGACCTCTAGGGGTCCCTTCCAACCCAAAACATTCTATGATTCTATGATTCTATGAAATACAGTATAATGAATTTATATGTGATATTAATCACAAGGTCTGATTCCTTAGTGCTCAAGAACTTTCCAGTGTTGGCACTGCACAGTTACTGGAGACAATAATTGGAAACATACGTTGAGAAAAATGAATGCAAAAAATGTAATGTGTGTAATGGGCGGGCTAAGACTTTTAATGACAGGCATAAAATCATATCAGCCTGTGTGTGTTGATATGTGTTCAACAGTTTAATGTGAAGGATAGGAATGATTTGTGACAGATACAGATTGAATCAATGTGAGCCTGATCATGTACTAAAAATGCAATGTTCAGTTCTCACTGAACGCTGACCACACCATTTCATAACTGCAGGCTTTGCAGTTAGGTCAGTGTATTTGCCAAAAGCTGACAAATCATTAGACTTAATCCATTTACTTGATTTTCTTGTAGGAAATAACTATCCCTATCCCACATTATATTCAGAGCCACACCTCAAAATCCTTTTGTAAATGTTATTAGCTAGAGCGGAAGAGAATTCTGCTGCAATAAAAGTGCTTTTGTGGATTTATGCGGTAGTCACGGTTAATCTCTGTCAATCAGAAACATGTTAGCTGTAGACTGTAGATCACTTGCCTAGTCAACATTAAGGGGTCTTTCTTAGTGTGCAATGAAAGAACACGGGAATATATTTTAAATGCCAGGATCTTCTTACTCTTTTCAGTTTCTAGAAAGCAGTTTTCTGTACTCAGCCTTTGCAGTAATCTCTTGTATTGACTAAGGGTTAGAGATGCTGACAGCTCTTCTGTCATCAAACTGAGTAAACTCTGAGGATATTTTTGCAACTTCTTTTAAAGATGTGTTTTGAAGATGTTGTCACAGCATTACTGTTGGTTCTGCTTCTCATGTGGGTAAGAAGTTACTGCACAGCTTTGAGTAGAACGTTATTAGAGCGTATTTTTAGTTGAAGTGTCAGAAAAAGAATGAATGGAGTGTTTACTGCAGGCTTTTTTCTAGATACACACACTGCTGAGAAACTAAATCCAAGTCAATTTTGAGAGATAAAATTCTCTAAAAACATTATTTGCATGTACTCTATTCTACAAAAGCTTAATTCCTGTAAGGCACAGCAACAATCAAGTGTAGTTGATCTGAGCCTTTTGGGCAGCCTTGGAATTGAATCGTAGTGGTACTGAGCTTGTTCTGTACACAGCACATTCTCGAAATACCTTCCTAGTGTATAGGATGCTGTGTGCAAGTTTGGATGCACTTTCATATGACATTGTTCTCCTAAGTTAGTTTTCAGAGTTGAGACCACCTTTAGAAGAGCAGTTGTGCTCTTAGCTGTGTGTAATCTGTTCTTAGATTTTATATTCCCCTGTGATGGTTGCTATCTGCTTTTACATTGGCTTCTCCTGAGTTTGTTTTACTCAAGTGGCTGTAGTCATACTGATGAAAATCAACATGAACAGAACAGTTAACAGTACAGAATAACTGTAACTTGTGACTGTATTGGTCGTTGAACATCTTTGATTTGTAAGCCAGAAAACCTTTAATGTGATAATTTTCAGTCTGTATTGATACGTGGATGTCAGAGCGTTTTCCTGTGAGACTCTTTCTGGACTGCTTCAGAAACTTCACAAACAGGTTCTACTTACTAGTGTATTTCAACAAGAGACCATTCTGCTGTAAAAATTAGTACCTTGCCAAACTTTTAAAACATAGACTTTTCAAGTGGGTGTCTCTTTTGCTAGTCAGGTTTTCTCTACCAGGTACTCACTACTTCTCTAATGATAAGGTAGGTGTTGGCTGGAAGGATGAAGATGCTAATTTTCTGAGTAACAAATTCTGATTCTCTTTTTCAAATTATAAGACCTGGCATTACTATTGTGGAATAATAATATCTTTATCACTTTATCCCAATCTGTATTGCGGAGTATGTGTGTTGGCTGGGGGACTTGTACTGAAATGACTCTGAGTACATTTCCAAAATAGAAGTAGGTTGGATGCTGTGTTACTCAGTGTATGAGTGGTAATCATAATCACGGGCTTGCTTAAATCCTATAAATGCTTCAATATATGCTAATATATTTAAATAAGTATAATCATTTAGGTCAGACGTAGTTAAATAGGGCAACAAACTTTCAAAATACAATTTTGCAGGTTGGAGAGGATGCATTGTTTTTTGTCATGCAAGGGCGTAGTCATAAATTCTTTAAGCAGTAGGCACATACTGAATGTGCTAGAAAATGGACACATTTTCAGTTTTCTTTAAGTTTTTTAATTGGTGTTTTCAGTTAAAACTCATTTCAGGGAAGAAAAAAAGGAAGAAAATTCACCGAGGCTTTTTGTCAAGAACTTAGTCTGAAATAAAATGTGACATTGTTAGTGTTACGGGATGACCACTGAGAGCAAGAAAATGTCCCTTAGGGTGAGAAAGCCACTCTGAGCAGTTCTGGTGTGCTGGACCAGGTTGAATTCTATTATTCTATTCTATTATAAGTGGTGTCCAGCGACAGGACACGAGAGGTTTCAGTTGAATATGAGGAAGAACTTCTTCACTCTGAGGGTGGCAGAGCACTGGAACAGGCTGCCCAGGGAGGTTGTGGAGTCTCCTACTCTGGAGATATTCAAAGCCCGCCTGGATGAAGTCCTGTGTAGCATGCTCTAGGTGAGCCTGCTTTAGCAGGGGGGTTGGACTAGATGATCTCCTGAGGTCCCTTCCAACCCTTACGATTCTGTGATTCTGTGATTCAGAATATAGTTAATTTTAATACAGATTGTGCAGTAAAAAGTATATAATAAAAGGAGCAGTTGCGCTCTGTTCAAAGTGTAATACTGTAAATCTGAGAGTTCTGGAAACTTTCTTGCTCATACTCCTAGAAGGAGCATGACCTATTTGCCCAGTGTGGAACAACACTATGTGGTTCCATGAGTGTTATAATGCGTGAATGCTGTCTTCATGGCTTTCTCCTTTTGAATGGAAGACAACAAAGAAACCCGAAATATAACACTCTAGCTCTGATGTTGTATTTAAATAGAATGAGTCGGGTAGCTGGGATTCTTGACTTGTCTGCAGGGTCTCGACTCCCAGAGGTCATAAGTAACTGTTAGGAAGTTTTTTAAAAACAGCATGGATTTTTATCAACTTACTCTATTTTTTTTTCTAAATGTGTTACCAGTTTATGGGAGCATTGCCTAGTCTCTGGATAACCTAGTGATTTAAGAATACAGAAAATGAAAATTCGTAACTTGCATTCTTCCAATTGATTCAGACTTTTCTGAAATGTTAACTTCTGCAAAAGCCTTTCAGTGTATATTAAAAATAAATACATGTAACAGAAATTATTTCTCTATTTTTTGATATTCTCAAATAACATTTTGATTTAATTTGAAGGCTTTTAAAATGCTTTGCATCCTATTAATACCAAACTAAGTAAATAGACAAGTAAATACTGCCTTCCAATTTCATTATGCTTATGGCTGCTATTGTGGCAATTGAGGTAAAGCTATTTTCTTCCTGCAGTTTCAGTTTATAGGATGAAATTGTTTAATGATTCATTTAGTCTTGGTTACTTGTGGGACTGTAGATGGAAAGCTGCTGCATTGGTTCAACATCAACCTCAAGCCCTGATGTCAAATTGTTTGCATTTACTGCTGCAGAGCTTAGGGCTGAAATATGGAAGATACTGAATTGCATTTAGAACCTATTCCTCAGCATCTGATTCATTATACTGAAATTGAAGATGACTGCTTCATTTCTTTTTCTTTGGGTTATAGCAAATACAATTTCTGTAACTGAGGAAGTCAAAACGATAAGTAGAATTGGCTGGAAGAGGGAAAGTAAATTAAAAACCAAAGGGCATGCATGCGGAAGGTTCTTAACAAGTGGGAGCTCCTGCCCAACAAACACAGTATTTTAACTAAATGGTTGTGGCAGAGAGGAGAATGTGATCCTGTTCAGGAGTGTGATCTGTCTTACGTGTTGGAGTGAGGGGCAGGGTAAGGGGCAGTAATAAACTGTTAATCAAGGGTATATTTTAATGTAGCTTCTGTAAATCCCTATTGACGTGGTAACATTTGTATTTTGTGGGTATATGACATTTAGTGTAACTTTTTGCCCTTTGTATTTCAGTGATAGACGTTTGCTACAACCTGCTCAGGTATGTGACATTCTCAAAGGAGTTATATTGGTCATCTGCTACTTCATGATGCACTATGTTGACTACTCTATGATGTATCATCTGATAAGGGGACAGTCTGTCATAAAGCTCTACATCATCTATAACATGCTTGAGGTAAGAATGTTGGCATCAGAATATCCAGCATGCTTTTTTTAGACTATCTAAAATATTGTTATGTTACCGTATTTGTACTTAGAATATGGCACATCTTTTATTCTCACAAATGTGCGTACACCTGTGATAAGGAGCCTAGATGCAGTGAAACAGACAAGTTTGTGAAAAATAAGTTTGTAGATACTATTTCATATTGCCTAGTTCCTGGAGCTTGTTAATCAATGTAGTTGAATGAAAATTGAGAACTGGTAATGGAAAAAGAAATGTGTTAAACTGAAATACAAGAAGTGGAATGAATGAGGTTTTGAACTCATTGACAAATGTAGAAACTATCAATTTGAAATAGTGATAAGATCCTCAGAAAGAGCAGAGAAGGAAGATGGTAGAAGACATGGAATTTGGTTTTTAATTCTTCATTATGGAAGTATTGCTTTCATTGTATGCAAGGACATGTTATTGCTTAACCTGTCTCAGTCCTGGCTAGCAGACAAAAGCCTGAGTACATAAGCAATATGTTGAATGAATATAGTGAAACAAGAAAAAAAAAATTCTGGTTTGGGAGGTAAGATAAAGAGAAAGTCTAGGGAAAAAAAATATTTCCCTTTTTTTATTAATGTAAAGCATGAGATATTTAATTGCACTTCTATGATCAATGATTCACAAAGTAAATAATGTTTTCATAGCTACAATCTTATCTCCATCCTGCAAATACAGGGCATATAAAGAATACAACCTCTTAAAAGGACTCAATCAGAGCTTTGTACACAAGAGTTACTCTACGAGGATTCTGGGATCCCAGAATAGCATATTAATCCTTGTTTTAACATCTGTTGTACTTTTGAAAAAAACAGGGCTATACTTTGTGAAAAATCTGAATATTTTGTCTAAAGACATTTGTTCTTTCTTCATGAAATATTAAAATACTGCATAAGGAACACACTTCATTATCCTAAGTGAAATAAATATACAGGCCACCTCAGTTGTTTATTCATAGTTTTTGTTTCCTTTGATTTTAGATTTGCTGAAAAACGTGTACAAATATTAAATTGGCACTGGATTACTATGTGGATTTTAGTTGTTTTAGGAAATACTCATCTGTATATAGTTCCATAATCTGTGAGAAGCTATCACTTACTAAATAAACCTGTGTTCTCAAAATAGTAATTTCACTTTATCTCAAAACTACTTCAAGTCACTTCTCTTAAAGCTGAGAAAGTATAGCACTATGTGCTTACCACGTAATTTAAAGAGAGACTGCAGTGTTTGCTGTGAATTGGAAGCCATGTACTATTCCATTTTGAATGAAGAGTTGAGTTTCTTTGCTACCTTTGGCAGAAGCAGAAGTGTGTGTCTCAACTAAGAAGTGCTGCCTGAGTTTCTGGGGGTTTTTTAGGAAAGGGGGAAGTCTGTTGCCACTTACAGTTATTAGAAAAATTACATTAGGCTTTGAAGTTGGACACGGTGTTTAATTTCCATGGTGTCTCATGAAACCCAGCATGCCAAGCAGAGGACATATTTTTTAAGGGGCTTTTTTACCATGGTAGGTCGCAGCCACAGTATTGGCAGAAAATGTTAGGGAATCCCACTGAAAGACTTGATTGATAGTCAGCTTTCAACAGTTTGAATATTGGCTTGCTTGGACTACTTCAGCGAATTTTGTCTTTGCTACTAGTGCAAGCAATGCTTATTAAGGAACTGTTAAATACACTTTTTTTTAAGTAATAAACTACATTTTCACAAATTTTCAAATTGGGAAGATCTTTTTAATTTAGTTAAATCACTGAGCAACAGAGATGTTTACAATGTCCTAATGTTTTCGGCTGTTGACAAGTCCAGGGAATATTGTCCTGGACTGATATGAGGAATGCAAAATCTTCAAATTAGGTGCTGAATGCTCCAGATAGACAGCCTGAGGGGAGCATTCAGCACATTTGGCTTAAATGACACTTTTCTTTTTTAGATTCAGACCCACCGGCTCCTGCTCCTTGTGAAGCCACAGTGTGCGTTACGCTGGTGACAGCACTCACCATGGAATTCTGCTGGAGCCTGGAGCCGGCATGTAGGGTTTAGGTAAGTCATATTTGGAAAAGCAAGCAACAATATTGTGTGGTGGGTTTTAATATTTTCTATCCTGTTAGCTAAGAAACAAGGACTACTTAAATAAAAAGGAAAGCAAAGCCACTATTTTCTCTATTAAAACCCTCACAATATTGTGAACAAAAACTTACCAAACTCTAAGTATTCTGTAGTTGGTGTTATTACACCAGGTGTAATTACTCAATGGGTCATCACAATGAGCAGGAACCAAATTATGCAGACCACCTTAATTTACAACATTTAAAAGCCGAAAACAATACCAATGTAAATATCTCTCAAACTGATGGGTTTTTGAATTTCACATTTATGATAATTCATCAGCTCATGGTTTGGTTCATTTATTTCGTAGGTGATGCTTAGAGTAGCATCTTGTACATACTTGAGACATCCAGTACAAATTTGTTTTAATTCAGGCTTTGTATTTTAGGAAACTTCAATAAATGTTGGCTTGAATAAGTTGAAGTATATGACTTCTCTCCCTTCAGTATCTTTACGTTTAGAACTCTTAATTAACAAAGTCAGAAAATGATCCCAAATCTAGGTTTACTTATGTTGTTCCAATAATTGTTTCTAGTTAATAAATGTGGTTCAATATTTGCAGGTACATTGTGCACCTAGTTCTGTATTGCTACATGTTATTTTAATATGTCCAAAATGGTTGTCTTACAGAAAGACAGTTAAGAGGAAATAGCAGTTGTCTTTATTAAGTAGAGATAATCAGTTTTTCATATTTAACTATTTCTGTTTGGTTGAGTTAGTAATCAATGATTTTTTTCGTTTTGGCCAGACATGTGCCTTGGGATACCAAATTTAATTTTGGAATTGCTTTTTTGTTGTCCTGTGCAACTTTGTTTTAAAATTGCCGAACTATAGTGTACAGGCAGAAAAAAAGTCTTTGCTTGTAATGATCTTCAGTTTTACATGCTTGCCAATGATGAATTGTTGAGAACTGGTGGAATTCCTTGTGACCTTTCTTGCTGTGGTATTGAATTACAAACCATCCATATTTTTCCTATCTTTGTAATTACTGCTAGGTTTTTTTATCCTACTTGTACATTTATTCTTTGGGTTACACTTCAGATGTTTGTAGTTTTATCAAACTAATTTTCCCTTTTTGACAGAATTTCTAGTCCCTCTTGATCACTTGCTATTGTGTTACAGTACTTTTGATTTTGAATTCTGCTTTATGCAGAGATTTGTATTCAGTATTACTTTACTCTGAGATGTAAGGAAACGGTACAGCCAAATCTCATTTCAGTCCTTCTTGTACCTGTAAGCTGATGTTGTTCCCTATCACACATTTGAAATTCACTTTTCATTACTTTTTTCCCCTATTAAGCCCAGAGGGATGGGAAAAAACCATTTAGGACAGTTTGATGCAACATACATATTGCTTTGTCAAAGGCTGAAGTTTGAACTGTACTTGGATGTCTTCCAAGGAAGCATCTAAGATAACACTGCATGGCTATATATTGTAAATACTGTTGAAAAGGGGATAGTAAATTTGAGAGGAAAAGTAAGCTGCTGAGTATACGAAAGGAACAGTATCACTGTGAAACCCAGAGTGGAAAGGGGAATGAACAAGAGATGGAAAGTGATAAATATGTGAAGCTTTTTTTAGGTTGAGCTGTGCTTTTGGTGGCATATTCAAGGTCAGAAAAATATTGCTTTAAGGCAGTGAAAAGTTCTTCTTGTTTAGGTGGCTGATCGTCTGTTTTCTTCATTTGGACAAGATATTTTGGATGCTCTTTATTGGACAGCTACAGAACCTAAGGAAAGAAAAAGAGCTCACATAGGTGTGATTCCTCACTTCTTCATGGCCGTGCTGTATGTCTGTATCCTTTTTCTTCAATAAATTGCAAAATTTTCTAAATTGAATTACACAGTAATTTCTCTGCATTATTTTCATGTATTTGAAAAAATGATAGTATTCTTAAATCAGTGTTCCTTAACTTTCAAAGTAAGATTGCCAGTACTACAGATTTTTAAAGTGAATGAAAAAGACCTTTTAACCTGCTTTAAAAAAAAAAAACAAAACACCACCTTCATAATGGTATACCACTGCAGTAGTAGACAGCTTTGTTGTGTAGTAAAATGAAAAACAATAATTGGGTAGTTCATGGGAGCTTTGATTTCTGATTTGTATTTGAGTATTTTGGGTCACAGGGTCTTGAAGACAGTGGGATTTTGTTACTTAGTGGAATGTTACAAACACCTAGCTTGAAAACGTTTTCTTGAAATGAAGGGATAAACTCATGCATATTCAGGATGCAAATTAGTTTAGTGTGAAGTAACCTTACAGTGAACTGATGAAAATTATCTGTAAAGAGATAACGCAGTCTGATAGATGTGGTCATAAATTTAGAATTATTGTACTTTCCCCTGTTTTCTCTGAAATGTTTAGGCTAATTCTGAATCTTTCTTTATCTCAGATTTTTTTTCCTTCTTGTTGTATTGCTGTCTCTCCTGACTAATGTCATTAAGCTCTTTTAGAACGAGAAAAATTAATATAATTATTACATGCTGCAAAGCATTGTGGGTACATTACAGAGGTTTAAATACCATCTTGCTGTAAATCTACTTGACAAGGAGATAGAAACTGGTTTAGTCAACTTTGGAAACCATATATGAAATTTGAGGTTTGGTGCTGTTCAGTCCTGTTGTGCAGAAAAATTATTTCCACATATGCTTCCTTAACCCTGGTGTCTAGTCCTGCATGCTATTCTTATAATGGTTCAAGCAACAACCCTTAATGTGGCCTTCAACTCCCACAATAAATCATTGCTTACCATCATGATGTCCAATAATGTAAGTATATAGCTTTATCATACAGCTACCCTAACTTCTTAGCGTCCTTCATCTTCGTGTATCATATGTCTATTTCTATATTATTTGTCTTGTTTATGACAGGTTTTTTATCAATAAAAACTAACTAACTGTTTTTAAAAATTGCAGTTCGTTGAAATAAAAGGAAGCGTTTTCAAGAAGTTTGAGAAGAACAATCTTTTTCAAATGTCAAATAGTGGTATGTATAGCTGTGCTAATCAGGAGAAAATGTGAAGTGAGAGGCTGATTTTTTTATTTTTTTTTTTTAATTTATTCATTTATTTAGTATTATTGTTAAAACAGCTTTACCTTCGTGAATTTGAGCATTCTGACTTAAATTCCCAATCTTCCCCATTACTGTTTGATTTGGTAGGACAAAATTGGGATTCTACTTCCAGGAACACTGTTTTTGCTTAAATGGCTAATTTTTATTTAAGGTGCTAAAACAACCTATTGGCTGTGTGCTAAAGTTATTACTAAATACAACTTTCAGATTTCAGTTGTGGTGTTCAAAATGCTTCAAAGTCTCTGAAGTCTTCTGTGTTTTCCAAAAGTTGACTTTGTAGCGTGCTGTGTTGACAGTGGTCTTAGAATGCACATTGTTTGGCAGTTGTGAGGATGGATCTTGAAATATGTCCCCCCCCGCTTCACTCCAAAAGAATGTAATGATGAAGTAGCTGGCTTATGAAGGAAATACCAGAAATGACTGTAACTTTTGACATGCTAGCAAGTAGATGGTACTTAGGAAACTTGTTATGCTTCTGGCAGTTCTTAGCTGTGTTGCTGCTTAGTATGGAATTTGGGAACTCTTATTCAGTGTGCCTCATGAGGAAAAGCTGTTATGGGTATCCTTTGATGGAGGTTCTGTCTAATACTGATACCAGCCACCTGAAATACCCGTTGAATTCTTGCTTTCAAAACTAATAGGAGAGATTGCACTTTAAGGTTGTACTAGAGTGTCTTTCCTTGTAGTATATTCTGTTCTTTGAACACATTTGTTTTTGTTATTTTGTGCACATGACTTTGTTGGTGAAAGCTATTTATACAGATAAGCAAACAGAATTCCAACTCCTAGTTTTTTAAACTGGAGAACTCAGAAGTTCAATAGGTTAAAAAAAATTTAGCCACTTATTTAAAAAGATTATCTTGAGGATTTTTTTTTTTTTTTTTTGTCAAGAGTTAAACTTCCAGCAGGCTCGCTTCAGGTTTTGAGTTCTGGCTATTGTTGTGATTTTTGTTTAATTCTGCTGCAAGCTGCAATATTATTACCTACAAGTGTTAAATGGCAATTGTTTTGTGATGCTTTGGATGAAAGACTATTTACACTCTTACACATCAATACATTGCATAACAGAAAAATTAGCACTAAATGTTGATCTAGCTCATAGAAGTTCTTAAAACCCCAAAAAAGTAATCTTCCCACCTGGGTTGATGAGGTGTTTATTCTGTGCTAATAGTACGTATTTTTGGTTCCAAGGTTTAAATACTTAGATTTTTTTTTTTTTTAAATTAAATGTGTTTAACTTCACAGTGAGAACATCTAAAAGTGATGTTTACTAAAATATTGACAGAAAACATAGATGCATTTTCTAAATTTTCTTTCATTAATCATAATACTCACAGGAAATAGTTACAAGTGTGCACCTAGCTCGCCTACTGAAAGGCGAGGCCTCTTTCTTGATTTAAATGTTGAAATAAGTGAGGGACTGCTATTAGAAGTGGTTAGTAATTTCCTCCATAAAAAGCACCTGCAATAGTATGCTGGAAGAAATGTATATCAATATTTTATTGCTAGACATTATTATTATTGAATACCCATAATAGCACTATCATGTCTCCCTTTATCACTTGGTGGAAAAAGTGATGCCATTCATTATACCATATGGGGATGGAAGCAGGTGAGTACATTCATAGAAGAGTGCACAGAACAAACTAATTTATTCCCTTCAAACAGATAACTTTTTCTGGAACCACTTCTCAGTATGGTTATAAATAGCAGTGTTTTTCTTCTCAGAGATAAATAACGTAGATAGGTTTTTAGGAGAGATTTTCACCTTTTCTGAACTTGAACAGGTTTACTGCATCACAGCTTCAGTAAGGATGGATCAGTATTGCTTCAGTTCATGTATTCTGATAACTTTGTTATCCTTTAAATGTTTCATTTCCTGCAGGTGAAATGGTAGTGCATATTGCATTGGCATAGCATGCCAATGCCATATCCTACCCCTGGAACTGAGGCTAGTCTGTTCCTGGTGACTGAGCTTGCAGTTAGCCTTTGGAGTGCCTCGTGCATCCTACACGATATGCTTAAACTGCGTGCCTGGACTGCTAAACTCACTAAGTACAGGTTCCCCCGTTTATTTCCCACCTTTCCCCCAGTTTCTTCCAGCTGTTTTCTCAGGTCTGCAGTCTCTGCTGTAGGGCAACAATGGCAACAGGAGCTGATAAAGCTTAGACAGACTGAATGAATTCCCTCTTGCCCCACCTTTTCTGGGGCTCTGCTCAAAATGTTACTGTGGTCAATGAAAAGGTACCGATTAGTACACAGAAGCTAAATATACTCATTCTTAGGGGGGGGTCAGTCTCACAGAGACATTGAGGAACTTGACATGAATAGGTGAAATTCTCTTCTTATTTAACATATTAATCAAAAGAAAAATATGAACTAGCAGAAAAGTAAGGTATCGGTGACCTCAAGAGTAGACGTTGTGATAAGAGAAGTTGCTACAAATAGAATTCAAAAGCAAGTAATCTTGTGAATAAAAGAGTGAAAACAGAAATGAACTGTTTCAGTTTTACTTTCTAAGACATTGTGCATTGAAGTACCTTGCAGAGCTCTGCATGGTATTGAAGATGCTATGTAGGGTGTATTGCACCAGGGTATGAAGTGCCACCAAGCTACCAGTTTAGATCTGGAAATACTGAAATCATTTTCACTTGGCATTGCGCTCAGCACTGACTTGTGGGTAGCAAGCTGATGTGTGGCTGTACTATTTCTCCCAGTATTTCTGGTTCTGGACTTAGTATTACTGGAGTCAGTGATCCTTCTCACCTTTGTTTGGCCATCTAAAATTCTGCTGTAACAGCTAATTCCTTAAAACTTCAGGACTAAAAGAACTGTGAATTATCTACATAAAAACTAATTGAACAGACATACATTGGTTACACCAAACATGTTATCTTTTAGGTGCAGGAGGTCAGCAAAGATCTTGGGATTTGTATAGCTGCTTGAAACTGCAGCTACAGGATCTGTGATTTCAACCAGATCGGCTCCTGCAGCTTTGATTTGTCACCTGTAGCAAAACTACTTTCACATTGTCACCCTGACTTTTACTAAGAAATTTATGTACACCCAGGCAGTCTAAACACTGTGGCTGTTTGAAAAGGCTTCTATACAGAAGACAAAAAACCCTTCTATTTGTTATAGCAGAAAGAAATATTTCCTTAAATTTAAATAGTGTATTCTCTTTTTTAAATGGAAATCTGTAAGCTAATTTTGTAGGGTTCAGGATTAGTGAACAAGGAGACCAAAATTATTAAGAGCAGCTCTTTCATCATTGTTGAAAGCCCAGCATGCTGCCTTCCTTTATGCTTTTAAATGTCTTATTTTAATTTCAAGCTGTGCTCTAAAGTAAATTTTTCACAAAGCACAATTGTACCTCATATGAAGAAGGACATTAGGTGCAGTGCATTGTTATTTGCTTCAGTTGGCTGTTTGGCCAGATTATTCCTTGTTTTTTAAATCTCTTGTCTCAGAAAGTTAACATTTATCCTGAAGCTTTAGGAACTTCAGGTTTTTTCTTTATATTTTCTTACTCTTTCTTTTTTTAAAATTCTGTTCTTTTTCTACTTTGTTCCCAATTTATCAGTCTCTTTGGCTTTGATCAAAATACTGAACAGCCTTTATTTTTACCTTTGGTCGCTGGAATTCAAACTGCTTTCTTATCTGGCTTTAGTTTTTTGGGGTTTTTTTAATATCATTGTTCTAATCCAGTTGTTCATTTTAAGGATGAGGGATTTGGGGGCAGGAGTACATTTAAGGTAGATCAGTGCCTCCTTGATGATTCCTTGTTTAGTCTTTGATCCTTTCTTGTCCTCTGGTCACTTGTTAAGAGGTAGTTGTCACTAGAGCTACTTAGGATTTGCTGAGATGTAAACCAAAAGATCTTTTTTCACTTCATACGCTGATTTATAACTAGCTTTTGATCTAAACATAAAAACAGTGGGATTAACATGATCAAAATTATTTTTTCCTTCCTGATTAAGGATTCCTGCATGATGTGTCAGGCAATCTGGAAGGAAATAACTAGGTATTCCAAAGACTTTTCTACCCAGGTGAGTGGAAGTGCCACTTCTGCATCTGTTCCTGGGATCTCACTGCCCTTCTTGTTAGTTACCGCTGCAAAGCACCAAAGTTCTTCAGACTTCAGGTCCTTCCTGAATGAGTTTATTATCAATTGTTTGGGATGTTGGCTAATTAATTACACTAGTCCATACTAGATGCAGTGTTGTCCTAAGAACAACCTTTATTTCCAATCACATCCATTTCTGTAATCTTTTACATGTTTTTTTTTAAATTATTATACTCTCTGACACATTGGCAATTAAACTTTGAGTCTCTGTTGCTATCAGTCCTTTAAACTGAATGTCTTCATTTTTCAGAAGAGTTTATAGAAGGGCAGAATGTGTTATTAATACAGGCAGAGAATTCCATATGAGTTGGAATGGCAGGATTGATCTAAGTGGGGTAAAAGTATTTAAAATCTGATTTGGCTATGTGGAATCCTTTTTTGGGCTTTACTTCACACAACCAATACAAAAAATAAGTGTATCTTGCTTTTGTGTCCGTCCCCCCACACACACACTGCATTTATGGCAGAACGTGCATTACTAGCTTTGAAAAAAATGTTTACCACCTCTATCCACATAACAACCCTAATAGGCACACATGACTGACTTAATGAAAAAAGGTATATTGTGGTTAGCTTTTGACACATGACCACTAAATTCTGATGTACTAAGTCTTGGAATGTCTGATTCTTCCTTTTCCTTTTCAATATACTGAACTACATATTTTAAAGGAAACTGAAAAGATTTAATCATATGTAGTCATTTGCATCACCAGTGGATGCGTGGAAGCACATGAAAATTCAGTGTCATCTTTCAAAATAGTCTGAAGAGTGCGTATATGGGGAGTATACAGTATGATGTGTGGCCAGGCTTCAGGGCCAGCCCCATGAAGAGCAGAGTTGAAGCACAGTATGAGAATGCAGCCTGTGCATGGTGTGTGCTGACAAGAGACCAGTCAGGGGAGTAAGTACAGCTGAATTTGTGGTGTATGTCAGTTCCTCAACATTTAGGAGCATAAGCAGTGAGAAAGTAAACTTCTTAATCATGTGCTTGAGGAGGTAGCTGAAGACTGTTTAAAATGTCCTCAGCCTGTTGGTTTGGCTGTTATTTAACCCTGTCTTACAAGGGAAAGTGTTATTAAAGCTGTAATGTATTCTAACTGAAAAACAGTTTGTGATGTGCTTATCACCAACACATTGTGGGATATGTTCAAAACTGAGTTGAAATAGCTTATATCAATGTTATCTAAACTAAAGGACGGTAGATTTAGGCATGAGGGTGGTGAAACACTGGAGCAGGTTGCCCAAAGAGGTAGTGGAGGCCCCATCCCTGGAAACATTCAAGACCAGGTTGGATGGGGCTCTGAGCAACCTGATCTGGTTAAAGGTGTCCTTGCTCGCTGCAGGGGGATTTGGACTAGATGACCTCTAGGGGTCCCTTCCAACCCAAAGCATTCTGTGATTTGTTAAGGATTGTCATGATGGAGAACGAGATCACTTTTTCTTCCCATCTTACTCTTCATCATGCTAAAGCAGAATAGAGAAGTTTCCTTTTGCCAGTACCTGTGCTCTCTATAACTGAACACTAGCACTGCTGGCTTGTCACTGTTTCCCTGGATTCACAAATACAGTAGTTTACTTCCCTTTGTTCTTCTTTAAGAGCGTGATGTCCCAAGTGTGAATCTAGGGATGTAGCCTCACTTGTTCTGTAGTTCACTGCATCATCTAAGAAGTGGCAATACATGGTACAGGAAATTCCCCTCGCCTGTTTAAAAAAAAAAAAAAAAAAAAAAGCATGTACATACACCACATCAAATAAGTCCATAATAAATGATGAAATGCTATTGGTGTGTATTTTGTATTCTGAAATTTTAATTGGGATTTAGGACTGATTGCCATTGGTTATTTTGGATATCCTGAAGTCGCTTTTGTCCTTGTCCGTGAGAGTGAGAAATGAAAAAAATTTCTGAATCATTTGGGTTTACTGCTGAAGCTGCTGTAAAATGCCCTTTCTCCCTTGCTTGCGTCTCTGACATTGGGTTGATGAGAGGAACGAGGATGAAGAAGTGCAGCCCGTGCTCTTTCTTCTCCCTCTGAGCAGCCTTGAACAGCTGTGGCAGCAGAGATAACAGATTAGAAGGGAGGCCAGTGAGAACAGG